CCAAGGTATTGCCAGGATCTCTGCTCCACCAGTGATAACCAAGGTTGGGGACATAGTCCAAGGTTGGGAGCCTCCTTCTATTCCACAGGGGAGTTCCTGGTTGAGTTTTGAAGACAGTCACAGATTTGCAGAGTGAGAGCTGAGCTTAGGGCTTTAGCCATCTGTAAGATACTAGACTGGACAGACATGGGATGAGACGGACAGAGCACCAGTCAGCTCCCAATTGAATGCACTACAGACTGGTAGGCTTGAGGGATTTCTTAAATATTTATTGAGTTGGGAGAGGGAACTGATTCTTATTAATAAAAATTACATGTAAAAACAGATACACTTGCCACTGGCAGCAGGAAAATCAAAGTCCTGGAAAAAACTCAGCAAAATGTAGCTCATATTTTGTGCCTTGTTCTCTTGTCAATTTTCTTCTGTAGTTTTTTAGACAGATTGTTGCTGAGATGCATACTAAAATGTTTGAAAATCAGGCATTTTTTAAAGTGAACCCTGCTTTCTTTATGGAGAACCTTCATCCAGTATTATTCAGGCCAGTGGCCATGGGTGGAGGTTAGCTGATGGGTTTAGGGTGATCAGTGACTGGCCTCAGGCTTTTCATCCAATAGTTTGGGGGGTTATCGTCCATTGGTCTTGGGGTAGTCATCCATTGGCCTTAGGGGTGGTCATCTGTGGATCTTGGGGGTGGTCCTCCATTAGTCTTGGGAATGGTCATTCACTGGGAGTGTTCACCCACCTATCCTGGGAGTGAATAGCTACTAGTCTTGGATGGCTCTTGCTGGTCTTGTGGGTGGTCATCAATTCGTCTCACAATGGACAACCACTGGTCTTACGGAAAGTGTCACCTAGGTTCATCAGCGTGACATAAATTTGTGCGTTTTATAATATCCAACAGAGACGGGTTGATGCTGGCGAAGAATATGTCAAACATCTCTACTTTAGAATATCATTACTAAGAGGTCTCTGGTTGTATGAGGAGACCTGAGTCAACTGGCCTCATTCTTTTGATTTTTCTCAGTGGGCTGGAGTTTGCCCTTCAAGTAGGTACTTGGGAGGGCCTCCTGCCGGGCAGCCTGGGCTCTGGCTTCCTGATCATGACACATCAAATGAATCTATTATTCTCATGTCAACTGATGATCTCCCACTAGAAGGCTGCCAAGGAAGAGAACCTGAGTTCTCCTGTGCTGGGAGACCCCAAACTGTCCTTTGAGGTCACTCAGCCAAAGACAGCTACTCTTTACCAGGTTGCGCATTCCTGATTCTGATGCCAAGTACTGCCAGGATTGCCCCAGGCCAGGGCCTGTGCCATAGATGGCTTCCAGCCCTGGGTGCAAAGGTTCTTTCACAAAAGGGGCTCCCTTTGCACCCAGTATCCTTCTTAATTGCCTTAGTAAGCCTGATCTGGCCCAGGGGCCCACCCAGGAGAAGTGCCTCCCACAGGGTCTTGGGCTCTAGACCCTATATATCCTTGGCAGGCCTTCTACTCCAGGACTTTGGTTTCTTCATTTGGAAAATGAACAGGCTGGATGACATCACTGGGGTTGCGGAGCACCCACAGTGTATGCCCTGGTTCTGAGTGTGTCCCAGGCTGTGTATACCCCCGTAGTGACTGTGCAGTGGAAGGGAGGACTGACTGTATTTACAGGTGAGGAATGGGAGGCCCAGGGAGCTTTGATGCCTTGCCTGAGGTCACCCACCCAGACAGAAGGGGTGCCAGGAATCCAGAACGCTGGATCCCAGATAGTTGGTCTGTTGCTGCCCGGCAGGGGTTAATTCCCACACTTCTTTGAATGAATTCTGTTAATAAACTGTGTTTGAGACACCAGTCTCCCTCCAAAACCACACACCATGGCAATGTACTGGAAGTAACTCTTGCTATTGTAAACATTCTCACCATGTACCAGTGGACCGTCCTCCCTGCCCTTCCCGTTTCCCTGGGAGGATGTGTCCCGATGTTTTGGGGTCATTCATTCACTCAGCCCACAACATTTGCCGACTCCCTTTGCTGCTGGCGCCCTGGGACCCACAGATGAGTCAGAAGTGTGGGGGCCTGCAGGGTTCCCACCAGACCTTCTCCTCTCTCCTCTCACAGCCCCAGTGACCTCATTCTGCGTTTCCTGCTGCCTTTCCTGGCTGCTTGGACCTCCTCTCCTGCCACACACCCAGTGTGTCCTTATGGGTCTACTACCCTTACTCTTCTTCCTGTGCCTCTCAGAGAAAGGCTTTGCCCATCACCTCACCACCCACTTCATCTGGCCACTCATTGGGACCCTGTGTTTGTTTCTTGTGGCTGCTGTAACAGGTCACTTAAAAGGACTGAAATGCTTTCTCTCATAGTTCTGGGGGACCAGAAGTCTGGGCTCAGTATATTCTGGCTGAAATAAGGATGTTGGTAGGGCTGAGCTCCCTTTGCGAGGCTCTAGGGGAGAAGCTATTCCTGTCCTCTTCCAGTTTCTGGTGGCTGCTGGTGTTCCTTAGCCTGTGGCCCTTCACTCTGGTCTCTGCATCCGTGGTCACATCATCTCCTCCTCTTCCTTGTGAAATCCCCCTACCTTCCTTTTATGGGGGAAGTGGGCATGTGGCTGCATTCAGACCCACCCTGATGATCTCAGTCTCTGCTCCAGAGCCTCGATTTCATCACAGTTGCAAAGTCCCTTTTTACTGTATGAACTGCCATTCAGAGTTAGATAACTTTTCTAGGACCTAGATAACTTGTGGCTGTTTCTTAGCCAGCCACAGATCTGGAAGCACTCGTGGGCGCTGATATCCCCCTTATATCTGAGTAAGATCTGTCACCAAATCCTCTTCTGAGTTCTACTTCCTCAGTTCCCTGCTCTGTCCCATTCATGACCTCTTACCTGTCTCTGGGGCATCTGCTTCTCAGCCCCCCAGTCCTATTTGTATTCTTCTAGTCTTTTCACCCTACAGTAGCCATCAGGTTCCCCACCATGAGTCAGATCACAGTGCTTCCTGCCCTGAACCCTTTGAGCTGCTCACTGCCCTTACCCTGGAGACCTGCTCTGTGTGACATGCTACTCAGATGTTCTTGATGTGCCCAACCATCCAGCTGGTCAGTTCTTCCCATTGGCTGTGACTTGCCTCTGGGCCTTTGCATGTGAACACTGTCCCTCTCTCTGACTGTTTGGTCAGTGCAAAGTGTTGGAGCACGTTTCAGGTGGACATTACTGCCCTTGGTGACTTCCTTCTTTCCAGAGTTGGGGCCTGATGCTCTGTTCTGTCTTCCTCTGTACCTCCACAAGTCCCTACTTATGACTGGGACTACCTCTTCCTGATTTGTCATCCACATTCCCCACTGGCACCTCGGCTCCCCCAAGGCACTGGCTGAGTGTGCCAGGTGGATGGCTGCATCCCACTGTAATGGCAGATGCTCAGAAGGCCCTGTGGGAATGCCAGCTGCTTCTTTGTCCTTGAAGGATCCTAGCTGGCATCAGGACAGAGCCCAAAGAGTACCCTGCAGGTCAGGGAGAAGGAGGGTAGCCTGTACATCCATTTTGTCCCCTCTCCCAACCAGGATGATGATGTGGCAGAGGTCTCTTGGGTTAGTTTGAAGGTTTCTGAACATCTGGATGGGTAATGCCAGGGATTGCACACTGGTTTGTACAGCCCTAGCTGGACAGGAAACCTAGGTCCATCTAAGCCAGTATTGGATGGACAAAGAAACACAGGTTTTTCTAAGAGATCTGGAAATTTGGTCAATGATGTAGAGTCTCCTAGTTTTTGCATCTGAACAACCAATTCAAGCTTTAAAGAAAAAGCCCTGCTGGTCAGGATTGTGTGATCTAAAGAAAGTACATCTGCAAGTTGGATACCGTGTAAGCTCTCAGTGTGAGATCTTTGGTTTTAGGATAGTGGACCAAAAAACCCCAAAGTGTGGGAGCCTAGAGCATTTGCAGGACAGGTGGACTGAGTAGTGATGGCAGAATGGCCCTGAGGAGGGCAGCACCTTGTGGCTGCATTGGAGAGGGGAGCAATTGGGAGGATGTGAGCCAGGTGTTGAAGAGAGAGTAGGGGTTTACCAGATGCTCAGAGTGGGAGCTGGGAGCAGGAACACCCACACTGAGGACCTGGCAGGTTTGGGTACCTATGGACATGCACAACCCAGTGGCCAGTGTGAGGGCTGGGATAGCAGGAGAAGGCTGAGAGCCTTGAATGCCACAAAACAGGGCTACCTGAATCCAGACAGAAATGAAATAGCAAGGGGTTTGCAGCAAGGAGAGGCCATGGCTGGTCTTGGTGGGGAGGCAGCAATACACTGGCTTATATTATCCGGTCCTGTGGCAAGTCAATGGGGGACAGTAGGGACTGTGACTAGCAACAGGGCGCATGTCTGTCCAAGATTTCTACTGCTGGGCAGTGTGTAGCCCACTTTGGTCAGAGGTTGCATTTTTCCAAGGATAGTTGAAATTATACTTTTAAAACAGAAGTCTCATCATTTTGAGTGTTGGATTCAGAGTTTAAAAATATTGTTTGGCCCAAACTGAACTTGTCTCTGGGTGGACTCAGCCCACAGCTGACAGTCTTGACCTTTGTCTTCAACTCTGGGCTCCTGGAGGGTGAGGATGGCCCTTGGCTTTATTTGATGCATCTTGATGTCCTTGTAGGGCCACATAATAGATGTAGAGCTGCACTTGAATTCCTTCAGGCTGTTCTTAACATTTTGGGTTTTATAGTTACAGTAGTTTTTCTGGAAGGAGAGTTGAGTTTTGGGGTGAGAGGATGACCCAGGCAGAGCCCCTCCCTCAGAAAGGACTCAGCCTTATCTGGTGACTATGTCCTCTGCAGATGGAGTCTCTGAGCAGGTAAGGGACCACCTTTGTGCCCTCCAGCCAACCCAGGGTTCTAGCTGAGGACTAGCTGGGGTGTCAGGCAGGGTCCTCAGCTGGGTGGTACTGCCTGCTGGGGCCCTCCTGTCTGTTCCCCCTCCCTAGTCTATTGTAGTTGGGAATTTGAACCTCTCAACTTTGCCCCCTCAGGCTGGTTTAATCCGGACGGAGGAGGAGGAGTTCTTCATCGAGCCTCTGGAGAAAGGGTTGGTGGCGCAGGAGGCTGAACATGGCCGAGTGCACGTGGTATATCGCCGACCGCCCACCCCCAAAACCCCTCTTCTGGAGGGTCCACAGGCCCTGGACACAGGTAAGTGGGCGGGCTGTGTGGAGAGCATTGTATGTCCTCTTCTGCAGACAGGATCGAAGACTAAGGCTGAGCCTCAGCCTTACTGGCTTGGGAATGGGCCAAGTGTGTGGCTGACTGCATGGCATAGTGGGGTGTTGGGGCCAGTCCTCTGCTCTGGGTGAATGTAGGTGATTAACAGCCTAAGTACCCACTGCTTACAGGTCTGGACTGTCCTAGAGGAAAGCAAAGGCTGTCCAAGGACCCACATTCTTCTGCAGGGTTGGCAATTACTGGGGAACAGGGGGGCCCAGACCAGGCCTGCATCCCTGGCCTGAGTGCTGTGCCCGTAAAAAAGGCATTAGTGTTCCCTAGGCAGCCCTCTTCTCCTTCCTGTGTGCAGCCGCAATCTTTGTGACAGTCCCTGTCATATGCCAATTCTTCCCTGGCTGCTCATAGGGAAAGACTCTGAGTGCTGTTTCGGGATTCCCCAGAGGAATGTGCGTGGTAAAGACCCTAGAGATGTTCCCAGCAGTCTCAGCACACATTCCAGAGATTTTCTCTTTTTCAACTAAAGCATGCTTTGGGTCCAGGAATGGACTCAGAAAGGACTCAGTGCTGGGTGGCCAGGGTGATTGGTCGCCTAGCCATAGCCTCATGGAGCTAGTCCTACTATGTCATTCCAAATCTCCTTAGCATTCTCTGGATTTCTCCTTCTAGATTGTGAAGAGGCCAGGGTCAGGGTCCATAGTAGTTCTTCAGGGCTCACAGTTTCCAGGCCACCTCATTTGTGCCTGGGTGATGAGTGGCTTTGAGCTCAGCCTTCGGCCTCTGGCCCTGGACCCCTGGCTGAGGAAAGCCACTGCACGTGGTTGCACAGTAGGTAACCTGGGATCGCTCTGGAGGCTCCTGGCCGGTGCAGCCCCCAGTGCTGTGATTTACTGAAGTACTTCATCCCTCCAGAGCAGCTGTGGCTCATTTATTTTAGGTCTCCCTGACTTCCCAGCTTGACAGATCAATTGGGTGCAGCTTGGCAGGGCACCATTCTAATTTCAAGAAACCATGTCAGATACCTTTGCAAAGGAATTGTTCCATCAGGAAGCCCAGTGTTCTCAGGAGCTAATCAATACTTCTGTGGCCCCTTCTTCTCTGATAATGAATTGCTGTCCACCTTGGCTGCCACCAGCTGGACCACTGGGTGCTGCCTGCTCAGCCTTGCCCAGCCTCAGCCTAGCCCCTCCTGCCTCATTCCCACCTTTTTGCTTTTCTGCAGGGAGAGCAACCTTGTAGGGCCAGAGTCAAAGTGGGACAAGGGGAGAGCTCTAGACCTGAGGTTAAGGCCCCCTCTGAACTTGCTTCTTTCTGACTATGGGCAAGTTTGGGCCTCTGGTCTCTGCTTTTTCTTGTGTCTGCTGGGTTTATAAATGCTTGTTTCCCAGAAAGCTTACTTCTGCACTGGCCTCCACTGGAAGATTCTGGATGGTTCTGCCCCTTGCACCTATGCCAGGCAGGGTAAAGTGGAGTCTGCACAGTGGAGCTGGCCAAGTGCCCTTTACCATGACTCTGATCCCAAATTCCATATGGTGCTTATCTTTCTAAACATGGAAGCCCTTCCCCCATGGCCTAGCTGGCCTGACTTTATTTTCTGGACTTCTGGTGTTTTGGCATCTTCTGTTGAATCCTCCCTCCACCTCACAACCCCAATCCACATATCTTTAATGAGAACTTGGAACTGAGAACACAGGAAAGGAATTTCAAACTCTGAATAAGCCCAGAAATCATTGGCCTTAGAAGGTGCTGGATAAAGCCAGCAGCACAGGTCAGGGGGTAAGGCTGGGCTGGAAGGTGGGTGGGGGTAGGGGTTGGTATTTGGCCCCTGGGAAGGAGGTGAACCTGTCCAAGGCTGAGCTCTAGGCCTCTGTGTCAGCTCAGAGTCCCCAGTCAGGAGCTTAGATTGTGGGTGTGCGTGTGGGCCTTGGGCTGTTAGTTCAGACTACAGACCTATGGTCTGGGGCTTAGACCCCTTTCTTTGACATCCCTGTCCAGTGTCAGCATGGCACTGCATGAGTGACTCAGGTCCACAGAGAATCTGTTTCCCCTTGGATGTGCCTGATTGTTCCCTTATGGCCTAGGGCTGAGGTCGACTCATTGACTGGACGGGATCCAGACACAGTTTATGCTGGGTCTGGGCCGAGGGCCTGGGGTGACCTCAGATGGTTCAACTTTCCATTGGCCTGGGCCTTGTCATGACCCGGAGTGGTAGCTGGGGATATATAAAAGTTGTGTCCTGTGGTTGGGCATAGCAGCAAACACACCCTGCTGGGCACAGAATCCCAGGACTTCAGTGCAAAGGGTGTGTGTGTTTACAAGAGTGGCATTATGGTTTGGGTGTAGTTCGTCTCTCAAAGGTTCATGTGCTGGAAGCCTGGTCCCCAGTGTAGTGGTGCTGAAGTGGTGGGACCTTTAAGAGGTGGGGCTTAGTGGGAGGGGGTTAGGTCATGGGGGCTCCACCCTCAAGAATGGATAACATTGGTTTCATGGAGTTGGTTGGGACTTATAAAGGCAGATGGTTAAAAAACAAGACCATCCTATGTGCTTGATCTCTTATACACAGCTTTTCCCTTTCTGCCTCTTCACCAGGTTGGATGCAGCCAAGTGGGTCCATACTAAGATGCTGGTTCCATGCTCTTTAGATCCTCTAATCAGCAGAATCATGAAGTAAATGAACTCTTTACTTATAAAGTATCCTGCCTCAGGTATTTTTTTTATAGTAATGCAAAACACTAGGGGACTGTAGTAGTCTGCTTTTTGTTACTATAATGAAATACCCAAGGCATTCTAACTTTATAAAGAAAAGAGGTCTATTTAGCTTACAGTTTGGAGGCTGAAAGTCCAAACTTTTTCAGGAGATCCCACTGGTTGGGTGGCTGGTGAGGGCCTAAGGGCTGATGGCTTCACAATGGCAGGAACACATATGAAAGTTAAGAGATCACATCTCCAGAAAGGAAGCCAAAAGGCGATTCAGTGACCAGGCTCACTCTTCCAAAAACTGCATCTTTCAAGAACTCAGAGGTCCTACAAGAGCTACATTAATCCCTTCTAAGGGGAGCTCCTACAGTGATCTACAGAGCTCCTATTAGGCCTCACTGCTTAAAGGTTCCACCACCTCTTAGGATCACTGCTCTGGGGATCAGGTTTCTAATGTGTGAACCCTTGAGAGATAGATCATATCCAAACCATAGCTGGGACTCTTTCTTCCAGTAAATTCTGATTGGAACCCTAATACATCCATGAGCTTCTGGCTGAAGCAGGCAGGAGGTGCTTGCTGACTCCTGACTCCCCAAGGCCACTTCTGGAGATGCATTGAGAACATCCCACTCTTCACTGATGGGTAAGGGGTGTGTTGCATCCCATGGGGAAGGGGACACACCCACCCCAGGCTTTCGAGGTTGGTGATGCCTGGGCATTCCTGGGGCCCACATGACTGCTCCTCAGGGGTGCTGAGACGGTTGTCCTGTTTTCTGTGAGAAGCCAACAGGCTGCCTAGGGTGACCTCAGGGCTTACAGAGCCTCAGAGAATCATTTCACTAATAGTCTGTCATGTTAGATCAGTTGCTGGGCTGCAATTTGCCTGGGGAAATGGAAGGAAAATGAGGGTTTTAACATGTTTTCTCAGACTCACACTGGGGTTGGGTGTGCTTGGTAGGTGGTTTAGCTCACAGCAGTGTTGCCCTCCAGCCCTGGAGGAGGCTGTCAGGAAGGGTGGAGGGTTGAAGAGGAGGAGGACCCTTTTTTCTCCTCACTGTCTCTACTGGTGTCTGTAGAAGCATCTCTGTTTAGCTCTGCTGGGACAGGAGGCAGAGCTGTGGGGCCAGGACACCAGGGTGGCCTTTTGGGGAAAGGTGGCCGAGACATCACCCAGGCCTCCTTGGGGCTGTGGGCCTTTCTCAGGTGTATGGATGACCTGAATCTCTGTCCTCTGCCCTCCCTAAGGCCTGCCTTGGATACTATATTGTGGGGAGGGGGGAAACCATGTTTTACGTGCACGTGTGCGTGTGCATGTGTGTGTGCTCATACACACATGTATGTGAACAGGTTACAGCTCTGTGCCTGAGCCCTGTCCTGGCTTCCATCTCTCATCTCTGGGGTTGTTGAAGAGGGAGCCAGAAACACAATACAGGACGAGGAGCCTTGCCCGGGGCCAGAAGCCTGGATTTAGAACTAGGTGACCCTGACTTCGTCATTCCCTCTAAGCCTCAGACTACAGTGATATACCAGCTGGGGGTTTAAAAGAATAGAAAGTCATTATCTTATAATTTTGGGGATCAGAAATTGAAATCAGTTTCACTGGGACAAAATCACCGTATTGGCAGGGCTGTGCTCCCACCGGAGTCTCTCTAGGAGAGATTTGTTCCTTGCCTCTCCCAGCTTCTGGTGGTTGCCAGCCTCCCCTGGTTTATGGCTGTGTCTCTCCAATGTCTGCCTCTGTGGTCACATCACCTCCTCTTCTGTCTGTCTGTGTCCCATCTCCCTTTGCCTCCCCTTGCAAGGTTGCATGTAATTGCATTTTGGTTTCATCCGGGTCATCCGGGACAGTCTCTCCACATCAAGATCCTTAATCAGATCACATTTGCAAAGTCCTTTTTTGACATACAAAGTACCAGTCACAGGTTATGGGAATCAGGACTAGTTATCTTTGGGGTCACCATTCAGCCAGTTTCAAGAGGTGAATTGATCCTCATACAAGGCTGGCTACATACTGGACAGAGCACACATTTCTGAAACACCCATGAAGGGCCCATGTGGAGCAACATCTAGTTCCAGTCTCAGGCAGATGGTGCCCCACACCTGGAAAGGCTAGTCCAGGCTGTGGCTGGGCTGATCCCAAGAAGCTGGCCTTGATGTTGGCATCGAGGGCCTGGCTGTCTCAGCCTTCAAGGGGCTGAAATTGGGATTCTGTGAAAATCCCTAGAGCATACTCTGTGCATGCAATCTTCCTTTCAGATGCACAGCGCCACTTGCAG